TATCGTTATTCTTATCACTTTTGATCTTTTGATATGTATAAAAAAGTAAAATATAGACGCCCGAGTCAGATAAATGGTACTTTAAAGTCTAAATAGTAAATATAATGGTACTAATGGTAGTATAAATGTAGGCACTCGATGCAATTATAGTATTATATAAATATTCATTAAAAATGTTTAATTGTGATTTTTGCTCACTCCAATATAAAAAAAAATGTTCGTTGCTTCGGCATCAAAAATCCAAACACAATTTTTTTTTATATAACTGCAACTATTGTGGGTATGGTTGCAATATGAAAACGGTTCTAATTCAACACTTTCAAGATAATTTCAAAATAAGTAAATACAAATAAACTTGTTTTAAATTTTCAACATTAACATATTAAACAAAACATTTTAAATTTAAAACTAATTTGCCTTTATATGTGTATAAGTTGTTAATGTATAAGTATATACATTAACAACAGTATATGTATACATAGTGTAAGTATAATGTATAAGTTGTTGTATAAGTTAATGTGTATAAGTTATATTATATAATAGTTTCTATATAATGTCACTTGACATTAATTATATATTATATTATTTATATTATTTATTTTTCTTAATTTATTAAAATTATTTATTTTTTCACATTAAACCACAAAATTAAAAAAATATTTTTTAAATATTTTAAAAAGGATGAAAGTTCAAGTAACATTATGGTGGCTACACATGATCAGTTTTAACTGATAGTTGAAACTGTTCAGTAAAAATTGTCAGTTAAAACTGAACAGTTTCAACTGTCAGTTAAAACTGATCGTGTGTAGCCACCATTAAACATTTAATTGAATGCTTATAGAAAAGAAATACCAAAAGCGCTTATTATGTCCATGTTGTGAAAATCACCTAAAAACATACAATGAATTAGAATCACATTTAAGCACAGAACATAATATTGAAGTAGAAAAAGAAAAATTTGTTTTTGAAAACATGACATGTAAGTTTCACTATATTACAATTTCAAAAAAATGAATGTTCTTAAAAAATATAAACTGATTTTTATAGTATTCTTGAACTGGAAGCAAAGTATTGAGCAAAAGACTCAAAGTCAGTATGTGGTGCTTATGGCAGAAAGAGAAATAAAAAGCAAAAATTGTATTCGTAAAGAATATTTTTGCCATAGATCATATTCCATACGATCAAATTCAGAAGAACGTAAAAGATCTATGAAAAGTTTGGGAACAAATAAAATAGGAGCTGTCTGTCCATCTAGAATGATAGTTGATAATTTAGAAAAACAAGTAGAAGTGACTTTCATTTCTAAACATGTTGGACATTTGTGTGAAGTTATCCGGACAAAAATACCAAAAGATGAACGATTTAAAATAGCTGGTAAGACCAAGAAAAGAACATATGTATAAACATGACCATAGGCGCAATTTCAATAAAAAAACTGAGGGTGCTTAAGCTCTGGGTTTTCTGTAAATTAAAATTAAATTATAACTATGAGGCATTAATGAATTTTTAGTTTTTTGAGCAAAAATGTTTTATAACAATTTAACATTGAATATAATATAATAGTTTATTACATTTTTAAAAATTAATACAATAGTCAATAAGTATTACAATTTACAAGAACAAGAATTATGTATAAGTTTATTAGTTTATACAAGATTTATACGTCTGTCTTTTTCTGCAAATGGTGTCTGACGAATGATAATATTATGATAAACTGTTTTTGGTTTTATTTTTTTGTAAAGAAACGTTTTGATACATAAACATAAAAATTATTTGAGGGTGCTAATTTTAAAATTGGGGGTGCTAATACCCCCTAAGCCCCCCCCTATTTGCGCCTATGAACATGACATTGACATATGTACAGCAATTTTGATTAGGAATAATCTAAGCTTTAATTATATTTAATATGATTTCAGGGAAACTAAAGCAAGGTGTAACTAATGAACGAGTACTGCGGGACATCCGTGACACAGGAGATGCTACCAACTTTGCACGTATTCATTATGCTGATAAAAAGGACTTGCACAACATCCGACGAGATTTTAAAATTGGTATGTCAAAATTCCATTCAGATGATAGTATCAGCATTGATATCCTTGTCAATGAATTATATAAGCATGAAGATCCACCTGTAATATACTATATCAATAATAATCAAGAATTTGCTTTAATCATCATGACTCCTTTTCAAAAATCTATGCTAATTGAACATAGTTCAAAAATATGTGTAGATGGTACCCACGGTATGAATTCTAAAATGCCAAAAATTCAATTGTTTACATTATTAGTGATTGATGAGTATGGAAATGGAGTACCTGGAGCGTTTTTTTTGTCAAACAGAGCAAATAAAGAAGCAATGAAATTATTTTTTAACAAAGTAAAAGAAGTAATTGGTAGAAGTATTGAATGTACAATTTTTATGTCAGATGATGACTCGACATTATACGAAGCATGGAAAGAAGTGATGGGTCCAACAGAGTACAAATTACTCTGCTGGTGGCATGTGAACAAAAATTGGAATAAACATCTGAATGAAAAAATTAAACATAAAAGTAAAAGGGACCTGGTAAAGAAAACACTATACTCTCTAACCACCTTTATTGAAAATACTGATGTATTTGAAATTCAGTTGCAACAATTTCTTACAAATCTTGAAAACGACATTGATACTTTGTCTTTTCATAGTTATTTTTTAACATATTATGTACCAAAAAAGAAGAGTTGGGCATTTTGTTATAGAAAATACACTGGCATAAACACTAATATGGCATTAGAAAACTTGCACCGTAAAATAAAATATATTTACTTAGAAGGAAAACAGTGTACACGTTTAGATCTATGTGTCCCAAAATTATTATATTTATTAAGAGACACTATGTATGATAGAATAATCAAAATAGCAAAAAACAAACCAAGTGATAGAATTAAAAGAATTAATCACAGCCATATAAAAAGCAAGGATTTAAAAAATGAAGATGTTGAACAAGATACAGAAGACTTGATGATTTACTATGTTACTTCACAGACAGCTGCTAATTATCGTTATAAAGTGCATATTCTTAAAAAACATTGTACTGAGTCCCTATGTGTACTACGATGCTCAGAATGTAATGTTTGTATTCATACGCATATTTGTACTTGTCTTGATAGTGTTATATATTTAAATTTATGTAAACATATACACAAAGTTGGATCCATGAATCCTTCAACTGAAGAAATTGATGACATGAAAAATAATCAAGAAAATATTGGAGAAATAGAAATTCAGCAGACTAAACAATTTTTAGAGGTTCAAACTTCAAACAAAGTGGAAGAATTAGAAGAGATCAAAACCAAATTAAATACAATGATAAGTTATGTCGAAAATCCATCAGATGAATGTGATACTAAAAATATTTTGAAGTGTCTGGATAAAGCTCTTTCTTTTTTTAAGCCAACTACTAATACAAGCATCAAAAAAGCAGAAGACAACCCTCTTAAAAAAATTAGTCATCAGAATAGAAAATGGCCCAAGACAAAGACAAGGAAGACTGTTACTCAATTGTTAACAAAACCTACCACTGCCGAAAAAGAAAGCTGTATTAAGAACTTGAAAGGAGATTTATTAGTACAAAATGTGCATGTAGATTTTGACCATATTTATTAAATATTATTACATAATATAATAAATATATAATATTTCATTATTAATTATTATGTTAATGTAATGAATTCACTAAAAATATATATATGTATTTAAAAAAATAATCTAAAAATTAAATTAACTAATAACTATTAAAAACATACTTATTTATTATTTTGGAATTTGAAAAAAGTGATAAGAATAGTGATAAGCGATAATAGTGATAAGCATGCGATTCCTGATAATAATCCAAGTCCCCACGCATGCGCTTTGAGTTTTGGTATTGGAAATTATCTTGTCGCGAGACGCCTGTTATCAAAACGTCCTACAGGAGTCACCTTTCTATTTAATCTCTTTTCTATGAATGAATCACACGGCAGGCTATCACACTGCTTATTATCATATCATATATTGTAATTAATTTAAAATTTTGTAGTTTGTCAATCGTAGTCTGTAACAGTTGATATTCGTTCTTGCGGTTTGTTGATTGTTTTTTATTGTGATTTGTGATGCGAAATGTTAATTTGCGACATAAGTCGCAACTGATACTTTAGTATTTTTTTGTTAATTTCTTGTGATCAACAATCGTGATTTAACCACTTACGTCTTGGTCACTATCAGCGTAACGATGAGTCCCAGTATAATATGGAAACATTTACGAAAAATAATAATGGTACAGCCACTTGCCAATTATGTCAGAAAACGTTAATAACAAGTGGTAAGTAATTTTCTTGTTTACTTATATTTTATAATATAAAGATAATCATTATATAATTTTATTTTCAGGCAACACAAGTAATCTACGTGGACATTTCACTAGTAAACACAGTAATGTTATGGTTTCAAAAGAAAAGTCAACGGCTACACCGAGGCAAGAGTTGGAAACTTCAGATGTTGATGATCAGTCTGTAACATTGTCTATATTATCGACAGCTTCAACTTCAAATATGTCATATATAGTTTCTACAGCTCATAGTTCTAATATACCATACACTAATGAAGTTCCATCTCCCAATATGGAACCAGCATTCAAACGTCAAAAAACTATAAGTGAGTCATTTTCACAAATTGTTTCTTATCAACATGGAGGTTTTAAAAGTGAAAAGTTAATAAATGCAATATTATATATGATAGCAAAAGATAATCAGCCGTTGTCGATTGTAGAAAATAAAGGATTCATCAATTTGATAAACGTTTCTTCGCCAAATTTTAAAATTCCTTCTAGACAGGATATTGCCAGACGTCTAGAAGGAAAATATAATTCATTTCCAGATTTGTTTAAAAATGAACTAAATAAAGTGAAATACGTATCACTTACAATGGATATATGGACCAATATCCACACTCAAAGCTACCTCTGAGTTACTGTTCATTTTGAGAAAAATAACAAGTTGGCTTCTGGATTATTAGGTGTGATAGATCTCCAAGAAAGACACACATCTCAGTACATTGCAGATACATTAAATGACGTATGTAAACAATGGGACATTTCTTTAGAAACCATTACTGCAATTGTTACTGATGGAGCTGCGAACATAACTAAAGCTCTTGATTTATTGTTTGGAAATCCCAATAAGCCACGTCACATACCATGCTTCGCCCACACATTACACTTGGTAGCTCAAAATGCTATCGCTAGAGTCACTGATTTAAGTTTACTTATTAAAAACGTAAAATCTATTGTATAACATGGTTTAAACATTCGGTAGTAGCGAGTGATGAACTAAGAAAAGTGTCCAATATTAAACTTATTCAAGAAGTACCAACCAGGTGGAACAGTACATTCTATATGCTTGAACGATTTATTTCTCTACGTGGATTCATCAATGATATTATAAATCATAATATCTCAGCACCTCCAATGGTTTGTGCTAAAGATATTAAAGAAATTATTGAAATAATTACTGTTATAAGGCCATTGGAAGCAGCCACAAAATAATTATGCGGTGAACAATATGATTCAAGTAGTATGGTTATACCAATTGTCCACTTATTAGAAACAAAAAGTGATGAGGCAACAACCACTCAAAGTCTTAGCAATCAACTAACAAGTGCATTAAAATTAGAGTGTTCAAAGCGACTAGGACAAAAAGAAAACGTTACATTTTTAGCAATTGCTACAATATTAGATCCTAGATTCAAAAGATTGTATTTTAAAAATTCAGTCTCATTATCTAAAATGTTAACCAAAATTTCTGAGGAAATCAAGTCGTGTGAACTTTACCGTGAAGGAACATCTGAAAGTTCTGATTCTTCTGATTCAACTCGTGAGTAGTAAAAAATATTATTTGTCATGTAGGTAATTTATTTATAAAAATATATTATTAATTTTCAGGAAATACAGAATATAGTCTATGGAATAACCACGAAAAAATTGTTCAATAAAGTAGCCGTAGTCGTGGGCGAGCCACAAGAGAAGAAATTGGTTATCCATCTGAACTAAATTTATATTTGAAAAGTGCTGTAGGTCGGTTGACAGACAGCCCGTTATTACTATGGAAAGACATGTCCACAGTTTATCCAAATCTTGTTAAAGTAGCTTTAAAATATTTAAGCACAGTAGCTACTTCGGTACCCAGTGAAAGACTTTTCTCAAAAGCAGGCTTGACTATGAACCAACAAAGAAACCGTTTGACTAGCAAAAAATTAAATATGCTGTTGTTTTTACAATCTGTGGATGAGCGTTTTTGGGAATTGTAATAATTAATTAAATTTGTATCTATTATTATTATTTTCGCATTATTATTAGTTTTAATTGTATTTTAAGATTTAAAACTTATGTAGGTTAGGTTATATTAGATTTCTGGTAATAAATTATGACATACCTATGTTAAAATTGTATATTATATATTTTTATAGGAATATTGGCCATGATGTTGAAAGGAGAATTTGTTGTATATTTACATATCATGAATTATGTATTAAGTATCATTCAAATTTTGGGTTGTAAATTACAAATGAAAAATGAAACATTAGGAAAAGCTGCTAATACTGTTATTGGAGTAATTAAAACATTTGAAGATAGCAGAAATTCGGAAAGTTTTTCAAATCTTTGGGAAGAAATTGAAAACTTTTCAATAGAAAACTGTATAGATTTGCAAATTCTTACTAGACGTATGTTATTGTTTACCCCGTATCACTAATTTAACTAAAGTTTAAAAGTTATGCAATTATAAATACTATTATTTAATTTTTTCAGTGTCCAAGAGAAAGAGAAGAGAGGTAACACAACTAAATGATTATGTGGTGAGCACCACAACAAGTGCTATTGATCAGAACTTTCAACAAAATAGTGAAATTACTTCAATTGATTTTTGGAAAGTACATGCATTTTTCCCTATTCTTGATAATTTAATAGTCAATATGAAATCCAGATTTTCAACACAAAGCTTAGAATTAGCCCAGTCAGTTGAAAGCTTTTTAGAACTTGATTATGAAAAAAGTTCCTATTTTATTAATAGTTATAAGGTAATTAAATAGCAGCCAACTAATATTAAAATAATTTGACACATAATCGGTGGAGTATTTTTTATATTTTTACATTTAAATAATACTTTGACCTAAACATAGTTCTTTTGATTTTTGTTCTAGTCTTTATTTAATATAGATGAAGATGCATTAAAGTATGAACTAAAAGTAGAAAAAAGGTGTTTGATAAATGCTCAAAATTCAGACAAATCCATAAGCGGTATGAATGTTGAAGAAAAAACACAATCTCAACTGTTAAAATCAGTTGTACAACAAGAAGTTTATCCAAATGTTTTGTAACGTATGTCACATCATTACGTCTATAAGCATCATAATATGCCTATTGTGCATATTATGATGCTTATACCATAATATATCAAGCCCCTCCGGTTAAGGTGCCACTTATATATTTTATTTTATTGTAAGGCTACGGCCAATATCGATATGTAAGAAACAGTCAGTTCCCCGCGATTCCATCACGCGCACCTGAACTCGGTACAGACCCACATTTTTGGTAAC